AGGAATCAAATTCGAATGATGCTTCCTAGATAATGAAATTATTATCTTGATTATATACATACATATATATAAATATATATATATATATATATATATATATCTTCACCGAACGGAAGAGGCTAATTGGGGTAGATTTTTGAGACCCAGAAAAACTTGATTTTGATTCTTTTGCCAACACAGAACGTGATTGCTTCTGATATTCAAATTATGAGACTTTAAAAACTAATGAAAAGAGAAGGAAAACCAAGACTATGCAAAAATGATAATAATAAGGGTAAAGTAGTATCTAATACCTCAATGTTATTTTCTAATTGCATTCAGCACTCTAATATTATTTTTTTAATGCTTTCAGCATTATAATCTCATAGTACATCAAGTATCCTAAGCCATAAATAAAATTAAGATATTAGATATAATTGAAAAATAACAACAAAATGTTAGGTGCATCATAAATAAGATTAGAGTGCCGGATGCTACTGAGAAATAATATGAGGGTGCTAATGCTTCTTTGTTGTAATAATAAAGTGGCTTGCTTCATATAGCATCTTCAACAGTTTCATGACACCTGGATATATTCAGCACCAGATTAATTAGGATAAGATGCAATATATATAGACTTACATGGTACACTTCTGAAATAACTTTTTGGTACCAATTGTAGAACTTACATGGAATATCCTAAAGTATATTCTTCAGACTCAAACCTATGAGTAGGTTTTTGTTTTTGTTTTTGTTTTAATTTGGTTTCTTTAAAAGGTTGTTTGTTTGGGTGGCATATTTGATAGGATCGTAAATGTCACTTAACCAGAGGAATCAACAAATGCATGATAACAGAGGTATCATATCTTTGAACATCATAAAGTATATTCTTCCGACTCTAACCCTCCGTTTGGATGGAGGGAAAACTTTAGAGGAAAGAAAATCGGGGGAAAAAAAAAAGGAGAGAAAATAATTTTTTCCTCTGCTTGGATGTGGACAGAAAAGTGAGAAAAAAGAAAACTGAAAAAAAAGGGGGCCTGAGACCCACCCCAATTTTCTCTTCTCATATGGAGAAAAAATGGGAAGAAAACACATCTTCCACTATTGCTCTCACGTCCACCGTCTTCTTTGTTATGATTTTTGTGAGCGAAATTCACAACAAAATTGATCTTCACATTAAATTTTTTTTTTAAATTATCCCTAACGTTTTTTAAACTGAAAAAGGAAAGAACCTTCACTTGGTTTTTGATAGTCTGTACATATGATTGAGTGGCTTCTTATCTTATCTAACTGTAGTTTATTTATTTTATTTATTTTTTAAAATAAATTTTATTATTTATATTAAAAAGTAACACTTTTATTAAATTATTTGATCTAAAAACACAATAACATGTTTATATAATTTTAAAATATTTAATAAAGTTAATATTGATTTTTTATTGTGATATTTTATTTAATTTTAGTCATGGTATATTTTCGTGTAGGGTAAGAATATTTTAGTCATTTAAATATTTGCTCATTTTCTTTCCTCCCCTTTTTCTCTCATTCATCCAAATATGTGAGATGATAATATTTTCTCTTTAGTTTTCTCTTCTCTCTATTTTTTTTCTTATCATTATTTTTTCTTCTCAACTTTTCTTTCTATCCAAACAGAGGGTAACTTATCAGTAGTTTTTTGGTTTTTGTTTTAATTTGGTTTGTTTAAAAGGTTGTTTGTTTGTGTGGTATATTTGACAGGATCGTAAATGTAACGTAACCAGAGGAATCAACAAAGGGATGATAATAGAGGTGTCATGTCTTTGAACTGAACTTTATTCTTTGCATTTACCATGTCATGCCCACCCACCACCATGATGTTAAAATGCCAACCGCGCACACACGTGTGCACGGCTGTGTGTGTGTTCAAGAAAATACCAACTTTAATTAAATCAAGGGGTTAAATAATGTTTAGTTGCTTGGTTATGGAAATACTGTGGGTAGAATTTTTTTTTGGTCCTTGACCAAAACAAAATTGGAAATATTCCCTCATTAATATAAGCACTATTAAGTTAATTTGAATAAATTAAATATGCTAATTAACTTGGTTAATTATATAACATGTGACATGATCTCCCTTAATAAATACCCATGTGATCTGAACCATCCGAATTTAATATGGACGGTCAAGATTAAATTTTTTATACTTTTATTTAAAAATATTTTTTAATATATAGGTATATAATCTAATTTTTTAAAAATTATCAGTCGAAAATTTTGAATTTAAACCATTGAATATAAATCTCATTACAACTATAAGTACATGACGCTCATTAAAATAGGTTCCGTATAACATTATATATATATATATATCAAATTATAAATCAAGTAAATTAGTTTCTGAAAAAATAATAAACATGAGAGATAAAAAAATGAATTAAGATCTTATACTTAAAACCAAATTGAATTTCTTAAATAGCTCCTATATTAGATTAGAAAATGGAGGGACTAATTTATACTAAAGTGCATGCACATATTTATCTTAACATAACTCCATGAAACCCACATTTTAAAGTTATATCACACAAAAATAACAGATTTAATCAACGCGAGAAAATAATAATTAAGAAAGATATAATTGTATCATAAGCCTGTGTGCTTTTGAGCTGTACTCTACCGTGAGACGATTAGCGTAAAATTTGTGTAAAATACTTTTTCATGATTATACGCAAATCTCAATATTCGTTCAATGAATATGATGAACATCGTATAATAATATGAAAACCAAGAAATGCGTAGAACATTAAGTGTATCGACAAATCTGATAAGACAGAGGCAGGTCAAGTCAGGTTGGCGAAGCGGTGCAATGAACTAATAATAGAAATGTAATTAATTTACTTTCCGTAATAAGAATATAGGAAATTAAGAGTAGCATTACCATAAATCACCAATCAAATTGACCGAAGCAAGCGGTGAAGAGTATAAAAAAGATCACACACACACATACACTATCTCCGATCCTAATTATAAGACCTTTAGTATATATTACCCCTGGTCCTAATTATAAGACCTTGTTTGTAAAACAAGGTCTTATAATTAGGACCAGGGGTAATATATACTACCTCTGATTCTTAATATAAGAGTTAATTTGACATTCAATTTGATTGTAACTATAAGACTCAATCCACTTTATCTCTCATATTTATTTATTTTTTCAAAATAGTCCTTGTAGTAATTGCACATATTAAATATTTCATCAAATGATAATTTTAACTAATACACTTGATTAGCAAGGGTATTTCAGGAAAAACAATACCTATTTATTACAAATAACTAATTTAACTGATTTTTTTAATTTATTCAAATTAGCCACTAACTCTTATATTAAAAAGCGAAGATAGTACATAGTTTTTCATGTGAATTAGGTCTATGATTGTGAGAAATCAATTGTTGTTGGTACGTTGTGTTTGGGAAAAGGTGAGAATTAATGTTAAAAGTGTTTGTTAAAGGAGGATCAATGTTAATTATGACATAAATTAAAAAGGCTTATATATATATATATATAGGCGTGTAAAAGAGGCAAACATGGTGTGCGGATATTGTTAACTTTGTTACATTTTCAAGTTTTGACTGATCATTATTCTTTGCTTTTGATTTTGGTCTTCTGTCCCCACCCCTGTTAATTTCCCTTCTATTCACTCCCCTTTCTTCCTTTCATACTTATACGTGCACTCTGTTTTACAATATGAATCATTTTAATTAATTCATCAGAGTAAAAAAAGTGATAGTTAATAACTTTACTCATACTAAACGAGGTTGTGAAGGAAATAAAAAATGCAAAGAGTCACATTTAAATATTAATTGGAGGGACAAAATAAATAAATAAGCATTGATTATTTTCTAAGTAACTTTTATTGTGAATTAGAAAGAGTATATATAACTGCATAGATCTGTTCAACAAGCCCTGATCATATTTATTCATAGTATTCAAGTTAATTCAAACCACGGATTGTATGAAGTCTTCAAATTTATAAATAATATGACTTGTTCAAATTTTTAAATGAAAGAAGAGGGGCAAAAAGAGAACTCATTATTGTAAAACCCACAAAATAATGCATTGCTACAAATATATATCGGTCCACTGTAATTTATATAAAGATAAAAGATAAATTCGAAGAAAGACCTTGATTCCATTCATTCATTGTTACTTACTTTCTCATAGTTTTTCTTTTTAAAAAAAATCACATTTAAGTGCAAATCAATGATAAGTCGATAGAATTTCAATAGTTGAGAGACTAAATTAATTTTCTAGAGTTCATTAATCTAGCCAATGTTCAAACTTTAAACACACTCCATATTGTTCTCTCCCTCTCTCCCTTTCTCTCTCTCTCTCTCTCTCTCACTCTCTCACTCACTCACACACACACACAAATAACTTAATTAATGTATCTAGCTATCTTTTACAAAAGGCTATGTAGCTATCAAGTTTTTCTCGGATCAAATGCCTCGAAATTAGATGGGCATGTAAGTAACTATTGGGATATTTTATTTAAAAAAGAAGGGAAGCAGAATGACAATACATAATGAAATTCATGTTTCCTAATTACTGCAAAATAAATGAATTAATAAAAAAGAAATCAAGGCACACACCCATTATATACGGTGACCTTTGCTGTGCATAATTTATTGCAAAGAGGCCCTCAATCAAAGCAAACCACATGGCGTGTGTCCCCAGTCACCTGATCAGACGGACATGATCAAATCTGACCAAATCAGAGGACGAACGACCGCCGTCCGATGTTGTCCCCGTATCCAACTTATAATGCTTCCCTTTATTGGTGCTTCTGTGGGCCACCCCACAAACACCCTCGTCCCTACGTTTGTTTCTCATGTGACCGACCACTAACCCATCACTTGACCTGTCACTGCCCCCACTATGTCCTAATTAACTTCTCTTTTCTACACCTATGTCTATATATATACATATATATATATATATAAACCCTCCCATTCTTTCCATTATATTACACCCCTAATTAATCTCATCACACCAATATATACGTATACACATTGATATATCTTCTCTCTCGACCGTCCTATATAGTAGTGAGAAAGTTTGAAGTTTTCCGGGAAAGGAGAGGAGAATTTTCGCGGGTTTTCTATCTTGATGATGGAGAAATATGGTGGTTTGGGACTTGAGATCACGGAGCTGAGGCTGGGTCTTCCTGGAAGGGAGGGGAAGGAGAAGAATGAGAGGAAGAGGCTGTTCTCGGAGATTGATGATCATCGTCACGAGGGGGATGGCGGCTGCGGCGGAGACGATCAGAACAGCTCGTCAGCTGGTGGAGACCGGAAGGTGGAGGCGGCGAAGAATAATAATGAGGTGGTGGTGGGGTGGCCACCGGTGTGCTCGTACAGGAGGAAGAATGGGATGAACAACAACGAAGGGTCAAAAATGTATGTGAAAGTGAGCATGGATGGAGCTCCGTTCTTGCGCAAAATTGACTTGGAAAAGCTTAAGGGTTACTCTGAACTCGCTTTCGCCTTGGAAAAGCTCTTTGGTTGCTATGGAATCAGTGAGTCCCTTTTTCTTTCTTTTAATTTCTTCTTCTCCCTTTAATTTCTAGCCAAACCTAATTAAGTTTGATGGATATAAAGAAATATAAATGGACATGGCTCTCTGGTTTTCTGTGGGATATATAGAGAAAATAGATTTGAACGGTGAGAATCTTGTAATTCTTGATAGAGGAGAAGAGAGCATAGTAGATTATTAGTAGTTAGTTGTCAAATTGTTTCATGTAGTTCATATATATTTAGTGTCCAATGCTGCTAAAGACTGATGTTTAATGTATAAAATATGGATCTATAAGACATAAAGATATCGATGCTTTAATTATTACCCCTTCAGAGCTAGCAAATTGAGAAATTTGTAAATTTGTAATTTTCTTTCTGAAATTAACTAGTTTGTAATACAAATAATTAAATAGGTATTTTAGAAAAACACCACAAATTGTTATAACTAGCTAGCTTAACTAATTTTATTAATTTTCATAAACTAGTTATCTTTATTAAATATTAAATATCCTAAGAGGGAAGAACAAATGGAAGGTAGAATAATTTTTGGAAAGGAGAGGGATATGGGAGAAGCAAGACAGAGGAGCTGAGGAGGCAGACGATATTCAATTACAAACGCATGATGATCATATGACTTGACTTGGGGACATATGATTTTTGTTGGATTAATAAATTAATGAGGAGTTTAATTTTAATTAATTAATTAATTAATGGACAGAGGAGGCGTTGAAGAATGGAGACAAAACCGAACACGTTCCCATTTATGAGGACAAAGACGGTGACTGGATGCTCGTTGGGGATGTCCCTTGGGAGTAAGTCCCCTCTTTTCCCTCTTCCTTTTTTCATTAATTAATTCTTCTTTTATTATTATTTGCTTTAGTCAACTAATTTATTGTCACATCCTTTCCTTGTAGCAAACACATTTATTTATGTTTTAATATTATTTCTACTGTTAGTTTTGTTCTCATCTTTTTGGGGGTGTTTAATTATTTATCATTTGGTTTCAAGATTTCAGAAAATATGCTAGCCTTTCCTTAAAAAATTATTGTTTATCATTAAAATTGTTTGCTCATGCATATCATGAATCATTTGAAAAAAATTTCAATCTTGTAATTTACTTAATGAAATTGTGGGAAATTAGCATGCTATTTATGATTAAACCATGAAGAATAACATAAATAATTTGAGACAAATTAATTATAGAGACAAATTAATTAATTAGATTGTGGTTTTTGGGGTGTGGGGTATGTGTTATTTAATTATGTAGGGAAAGATAATAATGAAAATGATAAAACATGTTAAGTAGGAATGAAGTAGAACCAGAAAACTTGTCCCCCGGAGTCATATCCCGTGTTTGCTGACCAAAACCATTAATCCCACTCATTTCAAAGCTTGTCTTCACCAACACCAATCCCTTTTTCAAAACTGTGTGCCCTACTTATTCTTCTTTTCATACATAACAGTAATTATCAAATTTGAGTACTATTGGATCTAATTAGATTAGCTCTTTTAACTTAATTTACACACACACATACACACACACATCTATAGGATTATTTGAGTCCTTGGTTAACTTTAACTATGCAAGAAAATAAGTCGTTCCACTTAATCTAATAAATACTAGCTATTAGTTGTACTATATACATTTTACTCCTCCGGTTCTTAATATAAGACTCATTTAACTAATTTGATTAGATTAAGGAAGTTAGGTAAGTTAGTTAATTATTAGAAATATGACACTTTTTTCCTAAAATACCATAATCATCTTTTTTAATACCATCTCTTCCTCTTCTACTTGATTATGGTTAAAAGAGTATCTATAGGGGTAATTTAGAGAAGATTAATAAATATAAGAAATGGGTATTATATTTAGGACCAAAAAACTCAACAATTAAGTCCTATATTATTAAGGATCGGAGGAGTATTATTTTTTCCATCATTTTGTGATATTTACGGTCCTTTACGTATTATTTACTCAACTGCATCAACTATTACTTATCAGCATCTGGTTTTCAATGTCGTCGACAAAACTAGTCCCACAGATTTATATTGCCATCCCATCTGGTCTTATATGATATATATATATATATATATATATATATATAGTTTGGTTTGTTAATTTGTCGTCCACGAAAGCTGCACTTGATTAGAACCATGATGCTTCATTAAGTTTAATTATCCCAATCATCCAGATCTACCTGCTGATCGATGGGACAGAGTTAAATGTTAGGATTCATTTTTATATCAATATTTACTTAACAAGAAAAGTATATTAAGATAGAATTCAGTTAGAGAATAATTCAGATTTTAACATAAATTTAAAATGTGCAATAATCTAAATTATTTATTTAATGAAAAGGTACTCTCTCTCTCTCTCTCTCTCACACACACACACACACATATATATCATGATCATGAAAGTACATATATGTGTAATGAAATATAAAAAGTAATATTCATTCATATTCGTGACACCAATAATGTAAAAGTTGGACCACACATATATTAGCCGACATGCGTGAATTCCTCGTTATCATGCTGGGAAGCCAAAAAAAAAATTTCATAATAATGCTCTTCCCTCATATAAAAGGCAAACCTATTATTCTTCTAATGAAAATAAAAAGAAAAATAAAATAATCCCTTTTTCATTTTTAGGTGTCCACATCTCAAAGAATCATAATGTCCAATTGCTATCAACCATGTGAAATGAAAGCTTTTCTATAAGTGGAAGAGGTTATGTACTTGATCTTACCTGTAACGTTATGCTATTAGCAGTATCCGCCCCTCTAAATGGGGGGAAAAATCCAATGATCCTTTTTAAGGACTAATTTGTCATATATATGCCACACACACACACACACACATATTCCTATGAATTAATTAATTTAATTTAATATATCAGATTCTGCTTAATTTATTTATTGATGAAGTTATGTGTTGGGTTTTGCAGAATGTTTATGGAGTCGTGCAAGAGGTTGAGGATAATGAAGAAATCAGAGGCAAAGGGATTTGGGGTGACGCCAAAAGGGACTCTGAAGGGATATGTAGAAGGCGTCACCAACTGATCGATCTATATATCAAAAGTTATATAGACATTACAATATGTCATCCATCAAAGGAAAATTAAGGAAAACTACTACTGATGATTAATTCTGTTTCAATTAATATTATTATTTACTACTATTTATTTCCCAAGTTCTAATTAGTGTCGTACACGTTTGGTTATTCCATTTAATGATGTCATTTTGTTATGTTTCATGAAGCATGCCGCTATAATTCTTCTTACTTATATTATTTGGTGTATGAATCAGACTATTCTGTTTTATTTTATTATAATTAGAAAAGGAAATAAATAATAATGGAGAATCAAAGTACGACCTTATTATATTGAGATGGGGAAAATTACTCATCCATGCATATTAAATTATCGTTTTGCTATTTCTTTTCAATTTTATGCATTAAAGTTATTTCACTTGCTTCTACCAAAACGGGAAAATAATAGAGAAGTCGTAGGTAAGAAAAGACAAGAGATGGACAAATCAGCCGTAACTTGCACACACACACAACCTCTAATCCTAAATATGATAGTTAGATGAAAATTCAATTTAGACTTAAATATAAGATCTTAATCTATATATTTATTCATTTTTTTCATACTAGTCCTCATGATGATTACACATATTAAAAAAATTTTATTCTAATACACATAATTAATAAGAATATTTTAGAAAAGACAACACCACTTATTATAAATAATTAACTTAACTAAGTTTTTTTTAATATTAACAAATTATTTATCTAACTCTTATATTAAAAATAAGAGGTAGTATTAATTTGGCCACAAGAGTCATGCTTGTCCACTTAGTTTTCGAGTCTGATAGGTATTCAAATTCAATAACTTATCTTCTAATAAAATATAACTGTGTAGACAAATTAAAAAACAATAACATTATATTCATAAGCTAATTAATACGAAATGGACGTACGGGGAGGAAAGAATTTCGAGTTCATGTGTATTTGTGCGCACATGATTGGAGCGTAGAGATTAATGAAGGTTTAACTTAATCCGAGGTGCAGAATCTAATCCGAATTAGAACATACCAAAATAATTAATCATCCCGATACAAAATAATTAACCATTTTTTTTAAGAAAAATTAATTTCTGTCAGACACACAGAAACGTTGGTGTGGCAATGAGACCATTTGTTTCGATCAGTATAATAATTTTGTAATCTCACACACACGCACCCACACGAGTACGTATAGTTGATAACACTAAATTGTCTGATTCCAATGAACTGAATCAGTTCTCGATATACTTAAACTAAATGAGCCAAACTGAAACTTTTTTTTGTTTTATATTATATTAGTTAATTATTAATTAATCCACAGTTTCAGTCCCCAAGACAATCCACAGTTTCTTGCATATGCTTCTCACTTAATCATAAATCTAACTTAGAAACTGTGGGTGCGTTATGATTGATGATTCAGTTTACATTCTTTGAATGCTTCGATGCCTTTCAATTTCAGCTGTATTTAAGTATATAGTTATATGTACTCTGCACTTTTTGTAAGTTAGATTTTTTTTTTAATTAAGCTTGATCATTTTATAAGTTATATACTTGGGAGGTATCTAAATTTTTAATACATTTTTTATTTATATTCCTAATTAATTTTGTGTCTCTGCATTAATTTAGATTTTAGACAGTTTCTTGTTCATTCTCTCTCACTCATCCTTACTATAAATTGGGCATATTTAAAAGAAAATATATTCCTTTCTCGGCCTTTTGGCTAAGATCAAGTGTAGTGTTTAAAAAAAATATTTTTTTTACATATTTATCATCTTTAATCAATTATGATCAACTACTTAATCTATATAATTTTGTTATTTGTAACTTGTTAAGAGGATTAACAGAAGTTTACTCTTTATTCTTATATTGTAAAACAAATTAGTCTTTATTGCGGATATGAGGTGATCTTGTATTTCAAAACAATTGGTAATAATTATTTCATTTCTTTTAAAAAATAAATATATTAATTAAATCCTAAAAGTTATAAATATATTAGCTAGACATGTTTTAAATTATTGAATCTCTTCCTCGAACAGACACACACACCATAATTTATATGTTTGTTTGTAATAAATTTGATTTAGTTTTAATTAGGTTGACTATAGAGAAAATTGGGAAAAAAAAGTTCCCCATTAAAAATTTTATTGGCGAGAAGAATTGGATAAATTTTTATATACAAAAAACAAAAATACTCTGCATATTTTATTCACATAGGATATTGGTATCCTGATTTATGTCATTCTCATTAATCAATGAGAGATATTTCGTTAACTTCCCCTTTAATATTTCAAACTATATTTACACTCTTTATCAAAGTTTTCGTCGTCCTCATCATATTCATCACACCTGGGAAGACTGCAGTAAATTAAAGAAACCCATGGACCACCTTGTTTGATAAAAGTCATAACATTTGACTCGAGACCATTTGATTTCTGGCGCACCTCAAGAATTTTTGCGGGAAAACACACACACACAGAGACACTCTTGTCTAAAATGTTTGTCGACGCCACGATTTAGTGGTGGCCTGAAAGAATTGACGATGAAACATAACAACTATTGCTAATGAAAGAAAGTGAAAGAAGCTAATAAATTAAAGCTGTGTATGTATACATAGAATCTATATCATTTTTTTTATTTTATTATAAGACAATTTACGTGGCTTGTAAGCCCACTTCATCCTCTCAGCAAGGTTGTGCTGAGACTCTTTTTAACAGCTTAAAAACTATCAACATCATGGCTCACCAGCGTGAATTGGTGATCCATGGTGGCGTCTTCCCATGTCTCTTGTCTTATCAATTTCGCCGAGTAATATTTACTTCTATGCTTTGAGACTTTCGAGCAGTGTCGGGTTTGGTGGCGTTGCAATTGGTTTGAGATGGGACTCAAGCTTTGGCTAGTCTTCAGAATGCTAACTGTTACTTTTATTTTTTCTGTTTCTTTTGTAATATGCATCTTTTTTTTTTTTAAGTTATAAGCCGGCCTTCTCTTCTGCTTTATTTAAGTATTGCACAAATTAACGTTTTATGTATAATCTTTTTACCTAGTTTGAATAGAATCTATATCTTGTAATTACATCATTATCACCTATTTTTATTTTTATCTCTATCCAAATATATATATATAGTCAATTTCATAGAGTCAAAAGAAAAACAAATCATCGAACTTGTGATAGCGAAAAGTGATGAACGTATTGAACGAAAAAAGCGAGTAAATGACAGATAACTTTTATAGGTCTGTGGCAAGACAAGGTATATAGGATTGATGGGTGTTAGCTGTTACTGAGGAAGAAGGACATAAGCCATGTGAAAATCTGAGAACTCAAATTCAGCACAAGCATATATATGTCATAGCTCTAACCCTAGCTGGCTGGCTAGCTTGTCCAAGAGGACGATGAAGCTAGCAAAGCTATGAACTAGCTGGATCTAGTTTTATTCATGGCTCCATGATTTGAAGTAAACTGGCTAGGGACCACTGTGTTTTGAATTGCCTCCTCTTTAGGGCGAACAGGGAATATAGCCTTTGACTTTTGTTTGGTCTTATATCTTCCTTTCGTTCTTCTTTTGCTCTCAGGGGATAAATTTAAAGGGTCCATTTTTATATATGCCTGTATATGTCTTCTTCTATTGATGGGTCTCTCTCTCTCTCTCTCTCTCTCACATCTTGCAACTTGCAAAACCAGAATCCCTCTTCTTGACAATACATTCACTCACTTTAGTTTCCACTATATACTTCGGGTTTATTTTGTTTGCTTGCTTCCTTCTTCCACATTAATTGAACAGTATCTTTGTATGCTTTTCAATGGCCTATATTATTGCTCACTAGCTATAAATTGATCGATCCAAATGCAATGTTTTTCCTTCTTTTCTTTTCATTATTTCCAATTTCTCCCCCCCCCAAAAAAAAATTATTTTTATTTAAAGAGGCAAGACCTGATAGCATAAAATTGTAAGGTGAATTGAACTTGTAACCTCCCACTTACTAAGAAGCCTCATATCATTAAACTACAAAGCTATTAACAAAAATAATAAATTACTTGAATATTAATGAAATAATTGTTAATATTCATTAATTCAAATAGTTTATCACCAGCCAATACAAAGACTTATTTCTTTAGGTGACAATATAAAGACTTATTTAGTTGATAAAGATTTTATCCATAATTATCATGGTTGCGGGTTCAAATCTTGTTGTTGATATGAAAATCTTATCGATAGGCAAGATAAAGACACTCTTTAAAACAAAAAACCACATAGGTATTGGTGATCTTTTACGGTCCAACCCACTTAAATTATAGTATATCAAACAAAATAAACTATCAACAATTGAAACTGACACTAATAATTTCATTAATTGATCAAAAGCACTTTAGCTCCTTTTAACTAAAATACCTAGGTACCTGAAATCTGAAATTCATATTGAATCCTCGTTTGGCTTAAGTTGGATAGGAATCACAACAATGACAGAACTTTCCCTCCAAGTTTTTAATAAATATTCTGTGTTTCCAACTCCATATTGATTCGACATAGGATAAATAATTCTGGTTAGTTATTTTGAAGGGCGTGATTATTATTGTATGGTTTATTGAAGGCATTAATTCAAAGCTTATAATTGCGTTCTCGAAGAACACAGATAATTAATCCATGCTTAAGTAATTAATTGGATCAGAGGCCGTATTGATCATGATGCAAGACATGTTTTAATTATGGTTTTGGTACAAAATGAATGATTAAGATTCTTAATGGTGTTTTAAACTTTCACTACATCAATCATTGATCTTTGCTTCTTTTTCTTTTTTTTTTCTTTTGCCCTTTCTTTTGATATTTGCTTTTTTATTTCATCACACATAAAAATTGGGTACACGAATCTAATCAATATTTTTGACTAACAAAAGGTATTCATATCACTTTATAAAGTTAATTTCTTAAACAAATAAAACTCCCATGGCCATCAAGCAATTAAGGAAAGCATATGAAAGTTATGCTTAGTGGCAACAATTCAAAAAGTCTCATCTTTTCTTTTTTTAGTTTCCCTTTCTTGAAGCACATATATATACACGCAAGTTTTGTTTATTCGCGCAAATATAATTAAGATTTTGTAAAGGAATTATAATTTTTATATTGCATATGTTCTTTTTATAAATAATCGTGTGACGATAAAAATTATATACCAATATATAGATATCATATATTTATTGTTATTATTATTTAAACAGTACATTTATCATGATCTAAGTATAGAAGATCCAATAAAAGAATGATAAAAAATAATTAAAAAGAAATTTTAAAAATACAGAGATAATACAAAAGATATGGTATTGATAATTTGATAACAACTTGACATGACATTTTTTTTTATAAATGAAGCGTGTGGGCTTGTAAGTGGCAAATTTGATCCCAGTGGTGAAACAACCTCTAAAAGAATTTGAAGTTTTGAATTTTGATCAGTAATTGGGTTTTTTTAAAACATGAAATTTTGCTTGGATTATGGTACATGGATATTTTTGTATGGAGCATATGTATATATTTGTGCAGAAAAATATATGTTAATATTAGTGTTTAAATAAAAAACAAAATATTTTTTTTGTTAGCATCAGAGTCTGAATTAATTAAGTAATTAATTTACTTCAAAAAAATTAATTAATTACTCCCCCAGTCTTTAATATAAGACCTAATTAACTAATTTAAGTATATTAAAGATATTAATTAAATTATTTAATTATAAAAAAATATAAATATTTTTTTAAAATATCATAATCATTTTTTTTATATCCTTCCTTTTTTTTCTTACTTAATTATCAAATAATTTTAAAAAATTGATAAATATAAAACTAAAATAAACTCCGGAGTAATTAGTGTGAACGTACAAATGGAAGCGAAGATCACGGACAATGAAGTGATTGGGAAAGGGAAGAATTTGGAGAAAGCAAGGTGGGGAAAGGACTGACACGTGTCGGTGAGAGCGGGAGCTACTTGGGAACCGACCGACAAAGAGACAAGGGCACATGGGGGGAGGGTAGGGCCCACAAAGGGAACTTTGAGTTATTTAGAAGCACATGGACTCCGCATAAAGTTGACCTGTACTTGGACACCTGAAACATGTGGGCCCCCCTGTCCCCACCCCACCAGTTGCCACACTCCGCTCCCTTCCTCTTACCTCCTCCGCATCCGCTTCCCTCGTCGCCCTCCCCCCACGCTGCGCACGAGCTCATTGACGATGACAATATTTTTCCCTAAACGAAATCGTTTCTTAAATATTTTCAGTTTGTAATTATAATTATTTGAATTTTGAAACTAATATTACTTCCCATCGTTAATATAAAAATCGTTTGATTTTTATTTTAATTTTTAATATAAGATTTTAATTTATTTTGTTTTTTATATTTATTCATTTTTTTCAAGTTAATCCTTATAATAATAGTAGTTCTAATCAATACACTTTATTAATAAAAATATTTTAAAAAAGACAACACCTATTTATTATAAATAACTAATTTAACTAATTTTCTTAATCTACTCAAATCAATCAACTAGCTCTTATATTAAAGAACAAAAGTAGCATAAGAACTAGTTGACTAATTTGAGTGGATTAAAAAAATTATTTAAGTTAATTACTTGTAATAAATATACTCCTGATACTTAATAAAAGCTAGTTGACTAAGTTGAGTAGATTAAGAAAATTAGTTAGTTAATTATTTATAATAAATAAGTGTTGCCTTTCTAAAATATCATTGCTAATCAAATATATTTGTTAGAACAACAATTATTACAAGGACCATCTTTAAAAAAAAATAGATAAATATGAGAGATAAAATATATTAGAGTCTTATACTTAGAAATAAAATAAAAGTCAAATAAATTCTTATATTAAGGACCGGAGGTAATATGTGTTGTCTTGTCTAAAATATCCTTGCTAATCAAGTATATTGGTTAAAACTATTATTATTATAAAAACTTACTTTGAAAAAAATAAATAAATATGAAAAATAAGGTGAATTTGAGTTTTGTATTTAAGATCAAAATAAAAATCAAACAAACTCTTATATTAAAGATTAGAAATAATATTAAGCACAAGAGATAATATTATTCAAATGTTGAAGCAATTTTGCCTGCACCAGGAGAGCCCCCAGTTTATAATACCTTCAATTTTCTACGTGCTCAAATTTCCCACCACGTTTGGTCAAAAACAAAAAAAATCCCACCACAATACCGCGTTGTCATCACTCAATCTAGATATATCACCTTAAGAATGATTTAAGTAATTTAAATGTGTTAATTAAATTTATTAAGTTAATTATTTGTAATAAATGTGTTTTTTCTTTAAAATATCTTTATTACTTGTATATACTAGCTATAATTACTATTTGATGAAGCATCTAATATGTACAACTACAAAAATCATTTTAAATAAATAAATAAATATAAAAAAAACAAAATATATTAAACTTTTATATTTAGAATTAAATGAAATGTCAAAATAACTTTAATATTTTTAAACGCTGTCGTATATGTAATCCCCGCCCACGTTAAGAATTAAAAATTTAGATGAGAAAAATGCAATCAAAGAACTACACATAATCAGGTTCGTAGGCACAGGCCACGCCCATGCATCCTCACAGGCACATCAACAAGAATCATACGGAGGATGGGTAATGCTGCGCTGTGGCAGTGATAGAGCCACCCATGGGGGGTCCAAACTCTCAAGCAATCACATCAATATCACCTGCACACGCTTCCCACTCATCTATATCACCCCCTGTCACACCAAACATGGATGCCTCCAACCCCTCTCCCACGTGTCGCCTCCTAGTTGGTCCATACTCACCCCCCTCGCCTCTCTCTTCATCACTCTTTATAAAACCTCTCTCTGCCTTACGAACTTACGGTCATCGTCTCTGCCTCCTCTCTGCTCACAAAACCTTTTAATTTCTCAGCTACCTGTGCCAGAAGGTCACCGAAATATTTTCTTACGTCTCAAACCAACGATCCTACGCTCTTCAGACATGTCGTCGGAGAATCAGCCGGACGATGCCGTGAAGCTCAACTTCAAGGACACCGAGCTCACCTTGGGCCTTCCCGGTGCCAAAACCGGTTCCAAACGTGGATTCTCTGACACCGTTGATCTTAATCTGGCCACAACCCAAGCCACCGATAACGACCATGGCTCCGCATCTGCTAAACCTCCCGCACAAAAGTGAGTAACCACACAAAATTAGATTATTCTCTATCTTCTATCTTTTTGAGCCGATTAATTCCTTGATGGGATATATATATATTGATTGATTGAGTGTGTTGACGACGGCGCAGGGAGCAGATGGTGGGGTGGCCGCCGGTGAGGGCAAGCAGAAAGAGCGTGATGAAGAAATGTAAGTACGTGAAGGTGGCCGTGGATGGAGCTCCATATCTCAGAAAAGTAGATCTTGAAATGTATCAGAGTTATGAGGAACTTCTAAGGTCCTTGGAAACTATGTTCAGCTGCCTAACCATCCGTACGTATATATATATATATATATATCTCTTTTTGGATCCCCATATATGTGTGTGCGCGAGCACTATGAAAAAGAATTATTAAATTGTGTCCATGGACAACAATTAGGGATGATTTAGTCTTTTTATGTGGATGCGAATATGATTTGCAGGCAATGATTTGAACCAGAACTCTGAGAGGACGACGAAGGTTAAGGCGGAGAGTGGAAAGAATAATAATGGAGGCGAATACTTACCCGCCTATGAGGACAAAGATGGTGACTGGATGATGGTCGGAGATGTCCCATGGAAGTAAGCGATTTGAGTTAATTAATAATTATTATAACTATGGATTATGGAAGAAATTCGTTAATGATATTCATTAAATCTTTTGTTGTTGTTTAGGATGTTTGTTGAGTCCTGCAAAAGAATAAGGCTGATGATGAGCTCGGAGGCCACGGGCTTAGGTCCGAGAAGAGGTTCAAAATGAAGGTAATCTAAGGTTGTCCGTAAAGAACTAATCTCATGACTCATGTACAGAGGCTTCGATCTACAAACCAACTTGTGGGTTTGTTGGTTGGTTGGTTAAAGAGATGATTAGAGCAGATTAAGGAAGTGCTATTAGTAATCAAAGGAATAAAGAGATAGAGAGAGAGAGAGAGAGAGAGATTATGGATGTGGTCTGTAAATTGCTGATAATTCTGTCGTCTGTGTTTGTTTTGTACTGTAATACAAATGCGAGTTTGATGTTGAGGCTGATGTATTTCCTATATCCCAATTTTGTAATCCTTAGTTACAAATCATTATCTCACTGTCGTGGTCTGAGATCTATATTATACTTCACCCATAGTGTCTCTTCCTTTTCACAAGTTTTTCAGACATTACAACTGTATCTTTAATCCTTTTCTTCTTCTTTTTTTTATAATTATGTATTGAAAACCTGGCCCAATATGATGTTTTTTTGGGGAACAATTTGGCCCAATATCAAAAGCCTGACTCATATATCTTAAAAAATATGTGCTTTATAAAAAAACATACATACGTGCTTTATAAAAAAAATTGGTGCTGTTGTGTTTTCGTGATCTCAAAATTTTCACCTTGAGAGTTTTTAAGTCCATTATCAGATTACACTACTTCAACAAATCCAAGATTCAAGTCGTCATGTTTTCCCCCATAGAACCCCAATGGTGATGGACATTTGGGCCGCTAACATCTTATATTGTCCGGCCCAATTGGATGGGGGATCACTGACCAAGTGAAATTAAGATGAAAAATTTTAAATATATTAAAGAGTCGAAATTCCTCCTAAGAATCATCGTCAAATTTAATCAAAAATGAAAAATTGTAATTTGACATTGGAAAAAAGAAGAAGGGGCAAAGACTCAAGTGAGATAATAAATATGAGAAAATTACCCATAAGTATTAGGTATAAAAAATTAAATAAAAAAAGACCCCCATTTCATTTAATATTAATACATCTCCATAAAATTTAATTTTTATAAATCGGGTTATACTTCTCTGATTCTTAATATAAGACCCATTTAACTAATTTGATTAGATTAGATAAGTTAGTTAATTATAAGAAATGTGATACGTTTTTCCTAAAATACCATAATCATCTTTCTTAATACCCTATCTTCCTCTTCTACTTAATTATAGTTGTGAGAGTATCTATAAGGGTAATTTAGAAAAAATTGATAAATATGAAAAATAGATCTTATATTTAGGATCAAAACCAACTCAACAATTACGTCTTATATTAAGGACCGGAGGAGTATTATTTATAAGTAAAATTTAACAATTTAATGCTTATCAATAAATTTTTCCTATTTATAAGTCAAGTTACATCATTTACAAACTCAATGTCCCATTCCAATACGAATGTTCAAGGAACCAGGTGTCTCAGGGTGGATCCTTACGCGGTCAAGTACCAAAAACTACTAGAAAATTACCAATCACCAATATTTTTATCAGGAGACCCTCCTATATATTGCACGAAATAAAGGGGGGAAAAAAAGAAGTCAGATTATTTACAGCTTGTGAATAATATTACTTATTTTTCTGTATAAATAGTACTGATGTTGATATTGATTTAGTGACAACCAATATAGTCTGTACATGTAGGAAAAACAGAGTAATATACACAGACTGATCTCTGTTGATGATGACACTAACTAATGCCGAAGGATAGGCCAATTCTCTCTAAGAACTGAGGGACTATGGGAAAATTACAAAGAATTCCCAAGTAAGAAAATTAATTACTAACAAGTCTCTTGAAATTAAGTTATGACTAATAAATCCCTTAAAGAACTTGTGTGAAAACACACCGGATAAATTGTAAATTTCCTTAGATTGACTTGCAAATGTTGAAAGAGGAATTGCAAATCACCACAATGAGGGGAAAAAAAATTCCCCAGCTCTTCTAATATCTGCGAGTCAAACTGAGAAATTTATAATTTATTCTTCTTTTTTTTGGCACAAGTTCTTACTATAGGTCTCTTGAAGATCTGGAGGAGGACTTGTAAATCACCGCAAGATGAAAAAAATTGCATTAAGTCCTTTTCCAGTATTTGCAGATCAAATTAAGACACCCACAACTTATCCTATGTGGATTTTCCTCTAGCACAAGTTCTTTAGAGAGACCTATTAGTAATAACTCAATTTTAAAAGAGCCATTAGTAATTTACTTTCTTACCTAAAATTTCCCAGTAATTTTCCCAAAATCTAATCCCACAAATGATCAGCCCTAAAGGTTACCTAGACGCCAAGAATGGGGTTTCTCCCCTCATCAATTTCAATGGTAAGGAGATGCTGGGGGTCTGATCCATTTGGTCCCTCAGAGTACAGTGTAGGAAGGTAAGCATGGTATGCCGGCAAGTATCGAGAAACAAAATCCCTCACCTGGAAAATCACCAACCATGGAATAAAGCTTGGTCAGTCCTCGCAAGTTAGAACAGACAAAATATCATGATTTATACTCCCTGCACTCTTTTTTATAAGACCCCTTTTAGGATGTTTCTCTGGCACAAATTTCCTTAAGCAATTACTACCTTTTTCCCCCCAAAAAATACCCTCTGTTTTGGAAATAGGCATTAACTAAGTGGCGCATGAATTCATAAAATACATAGGGGCAGTTTTGTAATTTCATTGAAAATTTATTTTTTGATCTTGGCGAGGTGGTTAAAAAGTTCCTTATGAAAAGGACCAAAGCAACAGCAAGGAAAATCGCAAAAGAAGACCTCAAAGATTGGAAAACTGCATAAAGGAATATATTTATAAAAATTATTGTCAAAACCAATATTATTCCTTCGTTCCTTAATATAAGACCTATTTAATTAATTTGATTAAATTAATAAAGTTAGGTAAGTTAGTTAATTATAAGAAATATGACATGTTTTTTCTAAAATACTATAATCATTTTTCTTAATCCTCCTGTTCTTTTTCTATTTGATTATGGTTGAGAGAGTATCCATAGGGATAATTTAGAGAAAATTGATAAATATGAGAAATGGATCTTATATTTAGGACTAAAATTAACTCAACAATTGGGTCCTATATTAAAGACTGGAAGACTAATATTTTAATTTACCCTAATTTACAATTTTTCTATTTTCAAGGTCCTTTTTTTTTTTTTTACAATTTTTCCAGAAAAGTAACACATCCATGCGTGTATCTGTTTATGGTGTGAGCAAGAGTCTTGGCTCAAGCAATAACTACTTTCAAAATCTCACGTCGTCTATGGAACAGAGAAAAGGCATCAATAGGAAGATAAGGAACAGACCTCTTCATCAGACATTCCAGGATTGCCAGCCTCCCTCATGGCAATCTCAGCCTGCAGATTAGAAGAGGACATGGCATGGAATTATATAAAATGGGAAAGAGAAAGCCTTTTTCTTCTCTGAGGTGGTTAAGGTCGTTAAAGCAGTCTACCTGCAGCCGCCATTGGTAGACACAACTTGGGTCCGTTATCTTGATGACTATCCATGACTTTATGAACTTGTCCCATGCATCATAATAAGCTTCAAGGTTTTTATTCACGACTTCTAGCTGAGAATGTAAGCACAATTGTTTTTCAGTTCTTTAATTCATAATAATGGGCTAAGGAATCAGCATTATCTGCAGTATTTAACTCGATCTGCAAATTAAGAAAAGGCACTTCTGTAGATTCTGACCTGGGGATCAACAGCCTTTACAGCTTCCACTGGAAGGGGCTTGAAACCAAGCATCCAACCTTCGAACAACACAACCTACACGAACATCGATGGATATGGGGGAAAATGAACAATGTGAAATACTTATAAAGCTTGACAGAAATGGCAGGGTTTTTTTTTTTTTTTTTTTGGGGTCATCATCATGATCAAATTTGTCACTTTCAAATGCAACTCAATATTGTTTGATTCTCTTACCGTCAGCGGCCCTTCAATTTCAGGCCAGGTTGAAGGATCAGAACGGTCACCTCTTCCACTAAATGCTGACTGCAAGTTTAAGTATAATTTCACTATAAAATGCCATGAAATCAAGAATTGCCTGAACAACCAAATTATGCAGATTATGGGCTTACTTTGTCATACCGAGGCAACTTCATCTTCGAACCTGAACATTTCAAATTGAGAGAAATCAAATGTGAAATACAATATCATAGAGAAAGAAGATTTAAATATAGAGACCGACCTTCTTTTTTCAAATTGGTTAAAGCGGTCAGAGTTTCAATTGACAAATCAAGATCATGGCTTCCAGCATTTCCACGAAACTGGAAAGAAACAGGGCAAGAAACATGTTTCAGTTCTCACGAAGTCTAGACCTCATAGCGTTCTATTAAGACAACATGCAGATAGTTACCTCAAGAAGTGCATTTCCTGGATTTGATTCTCTTAGTTTACTCTACAATCAAAATATAAAATGTCATCCAAGCAAGAATTATCAAGACAAGGACATTTGTTGGAATGGGAAAATGACAAAGAAAGAATCTTTCCACATACCTGACCCTCATGCGTCAAATAAAAATCATCTATAGATATTGTTGCAGATTTCCTATAGTTTTCCATGCATCAGAGATTTGTTACTAAAATGTCCTTTCTAGATAGTCTTTATGAAAAAGGGTAAATTGTCTTCCAAAAAAGACTATGGTTGTGACAGAATTCAGAGCCTACCTGCCAGTTGTTCGGAAAAGATAATCAAGAGCAAAAACCAGAGTTGTTTTTCCACATCCCTGGGGAGCACTAAATCCAATCTAAACCACAAAAATTGAAAATTGTAAGGCCCCTTTTGAAAAATAAATAAATAAAATAACTTGGCTTTTTCTAGCTTTTGCTGCAGTTACAGCTCATGCAACATGAATCATTACAATATTGTCCGAGCTGAACAACTTTAGTCATACTCTATAAAAAAAAATTAACTAGGACAGTTGAGCCCTCTGCATTGCAATGCATTTATGGAGTCTGAATAGTGAGCTGCACAAGTTTAAGGTTAATGAACGTGACTTGCTATAGATTTCATATGGTATGATGATAAACAAAGACACAGAATATGAGAAATTGTAGTGGAAACAAACAAACACACACACACACCCACCACTAAAGGAGGTATATCTTCTCCATCTTTGAACTTTGACTGATGCTCAGCGATTTGGTCTTCACACCAAAGAAAGACTGGTATGTAGTAATGGTAAAGCCTAGCTTTTTGAGGGACAGTTAGGTACAATTCATTGAGTTGGAACAACTGGCTTAGCCTCCGACCATACATCAACCACTTATCTATGGACTCAGCCACCTTTTCTGGTGTCAAACCTGCTTTCTCCATCAAAGGTCCTGAGCATATAAAATCGTAAAGGTCCTGTACAGCTGAAACTTCAGCAGGTTTCGTGGGGAATACAGAATGCAAAGGACCCTGTCTACACTCATTGCTAGTAACAGAGCTAAGTGGAGTGAAATTATGTTGCAACCATGAACTCCCACTGCCTGCATGAAGAAATCATAATTATATATTAAAGATCTCATACGCAAATTCTTATAGTATAAGAAAGTGGTGATCAACAAACCAACTTCCGGGAAAACGAAATTCCATAATAAAATTAAGAACGAAGACGCTAATTCTTTCAATCTCTGATTAACATTAGTCCAATGATATGCCAACAAATTTGTATAAGGACTCGTTGGTCATTTTACTTTTCTTCTGCTACTGCACGTACGCAAATTGTACCCTCTGACGATATGATACGAGAAACCTGAATTTACTCCTCTCCATTTTCTCTCTCTTCTCTCTTCCCAAATCCCAAGCTTCTTCTTTCCATTTCTAGGCTCTGAGCACATCATCCAAAGTGGAAAGTACTTTCATTTTGCAAGCGCAGAGATGGAGCTCCACCAACCAAATGAAACCATTATAAATTGATGTGTAAAAGCATATATACAAAATGTGTCTTTCAAATACGGGAAAATATCTGTTTTCTTTTCAGTGAAGAATCAAATCATAGTTCCATGAGATAATTGAAATTTCAGAGAATTAGTTATTATATGGGAATTAATGAATTTGGGGCAATTAGGTAACTAAAGCTAAGGGATGAGTAGGGAAAGGGGTAGGCTTGCCAATAGACCAGGACACGAATGTCCAAGAACAAGAAACATAAAATTGAGGTCAACCTCTGCTTCCGGCCGAACGACGATGAGAATATAACTGGGGCCTTAACCAAAACAATAAAATTGACGAATAAAGGAATCGAAAACACAAATCCCAAGTTAGCGACTATTTCAGCCATGGGTACCAATTATGAAGCTCCAAACTTCTCAGGAACAATTCGATTCTTAATAATTCTTCAGAATTCTGAATTAACTAACATCTTACCCAATATCTAATAATTCATATTCGTCCGAACTCCCAACTAAAGTATTAAACCTTAATTTCCTTCCCACCAAATCTCCACTGGTCAGTTAGTCCGAAATTGATTGTTTTCACCCTCTCCATTCATAAAATATCATATCATCCAAACACCAGGAAACAAATGACTAAATCAAAGAACCCAACAATCCAATGGAGGAAAAGCACCTGATTTTGTGGAGTGTGTCGGCATTTTAGAGAACTTGGAACAGTGAGATTGATTGGGGGAAGAACACAGAGAATTAGAAGAATAAAATAATTTACAATGGTTAGAGTAATAGCCATAGTCGCTGGAACTATAGTGACAGAAAGAAGGCGAAAGTGTAGGCTGCAATGGCTGAGATAAGAGGTTCAAAGTCGCCATTTTTCAATCTGCTTCAAGCTCGCTCTCTCTTCCTTACTGCAACAGAACTCAGCTATGGAAGTGGCTTAGCTGCCACATACTCCTCGTCTTCCCCTCTGTGGTGAAAATATTGGAACGGAGGGCCATACATAAGACGCAGATTTTTGCATTTATTTACATTTTTATCAATAAGATAGTATTCTTGTTTTGGTTCTTCCCATTAATTTTAATCAATGTTTTTCACTCGCTGTTTTGGAGCCATGTCCCTCCTTGATAGAAAACCAACAATACTTGTGTCTCTCGTTAGTCACTGTCCGTTTTTATTTTTTGGGCCACAATTAGTCATTTTCTTTTCTAAAAGAAATATCTCTATAATCGTTTCACCGAAGCAAAAAAGAGAAGAAATATCTTTATAATCAATTATTCAAATCCTGTATGATTTAATTTTATTTTTCAATTGTTTACATGATATTGATTTTCAATTCTCAGATTTATTTTATCTTTTTATTTTTGCTTCGCAGCCTGACAAATTTATATTCATATCAACTTCATACCACTAAACTGCAAAAATAATTAGAACAAAATCATAAAACATTTGCTTAAAAATTCATACCAATAAAAATGAAATTAATTTTTTGTTATTATCTTGTTTAATTAACAATATTTGTTCTTTGCTATTAAAACTAATTATGTTAGTTAAACAAAATCGATTCTCATCACATTCTTATAGAATTTTTTCATCATAAATATCATATGAACAAAACATAAACATGTACATCCCATATCCATGCATATGTAAGTTTTCCTCCAATAGTGATATTTCCTCTAATTTTGAGTTCAGACTTGATTTCAGTTAGTTCATTAAAAAATTATTCTCTTGGTCTGAAAGTATTGTTTGTTTTGTCGCAAAACTTGTGGCTTTCCATAAAATCTACAAAGAAGGAACATACATACTAACGAAAGTAATGCATAGTTTAGTTGAAGGTGAACTTCCAAGAAACTACAAAGGTCACTTGTCAATTATGTTAACAACAAATCATTACATCAAGTTTAAAAGTATTAGAGGCCACATGTTTTATCATGGGGTTCTTCCTCAAACAACATATCAAGAACCCCAGAAAAAGAAATGGCCATTAAATGTACAGGAAAAGAATGGACCAATGAACAGAAGTTTGGGGGTGGGAATTAGGTGAGACAGAGACATGAGGGCCTTGGATTCACAATGAGCAACTCTCCTTCTATTTTGTATACACCATACCATATCTGTTAGAACTAGAAGTCCCTTTAGTCTTGACTTGTTAATCACTCTCTATCTTCAGAACAGAGTTTCACGCAGTTTCGGCGAAGACATAGCGGCCACATTTTTGAACTGCTAGGGAAATTTTCACAATGATCATCATGCAACTCAATACAAAATAGGTCTAATACTGTGCACTAGCACTTCAAAAATTAGAGGAGGACTAGAATTTTTAAACCAGCTTTAGCTTTTGTGCTATCTCTAGTGTACCTTGTCTTGTCTGTACTTCATCCGAATGGCACTTAAAGGGCAGCCTTTGGTATTCAGTTGAAGATCTTGCAAAGCTACAATTGTGGCTTTTAAATCTGATGCCTTATACCTTGAATAGTGTTCAAGAGTTGGATTCTGCAGAAAAAAACAATGAAGGTCACGTTTTGTGATACAAATATTGTCGCCTATACTACCATATTCATTCCAAAATGTATTGTGGTCATCAATTTACCCCCAATGTTTTCAAAGAAGAAAAGCATTCAATAAATCCTGACCTTCACTCTATCAATAAAACATTAAAAGAGCCGCTTATGAGGTCAGGACATGCTTGAAGTAATTTTCAAAATGGTGGGGCTAATTTGATGGAAGCAGTGTCCAATATGGTAGTTTAATCTAATACTCCCTCCATCCCTGATTATAAGTCCTAATTTTTGGATTTGTTGTGTTCCTAATTACAAGTCTCATTACAAAGTTCTCAGTGTTACTAAGAGATTTTTGCTAAAATACTCTTTATAAAGGATCAAAATCAGGTATCTTGCTTAATAAAGATACACTTTCCAGGGGTAGCATTTGATTGAGGGTAGAACTGGAAAAAAAATATTTCATTCATCAACCAGATTTCCGTGTTTTCTTGATGTGTGTTTAGAAAAATTGAGACTTATAATTAGAGATGGATGGAGTATTATTTTCAAGAAAAGAAGATAAGGATGGGATATAAACCCAAGGGTGATATGACTGATCTAATGTCCATCTGGCTAGAAATACAACTGATGCAGCAACGAGAGAAGGAAGGAAAGTCAAGAAACTATAATCCATCAGGCTTAGCTCAGCAAGATAGTTGGCCAGGTATTCCAATTCAAGGCTAGGACACTGCAAAATTTAGTATATAACAGATTATCAGTACTGAAATCAGACAATTCAGTATGCCTCCTGCGGAATCATGACCAGGCAGCTTTGTCTAAAACTTATCCCTTCACCTTGTAAGAAGCTTGCGCCGCTCGAAGAAACCTCCTAAGAACCAAGAATGTACATACACAGTTTGATAAGACTCTTTCAAAGGAAAAATGGAATTTTATTTTCTCAGCTAAAATTACACATTGACATCATCAGCATTGCCGAAAGCAAGCAAGTTAAAAAAAATTACCTGAGGAAAGTTTTTGTTGTGGGAGCAAACATTTGGAACTGCGAACACCTAAACACTTGAGTCTCCATTTTAAGTACCTGCCATTTACTTCATTTAGTGATGCAAGGAATCCAATATCCAATATCCAATAATTTTATAATACCAAAAGCATGTACTCATAACAAAGAACAAAACACAACGGATTACTATTAATATCCCACTTAGTCATCAATAATAAAATCAATGATATGCAAAAACCAACAAGGTAAGAATGAATTTTGTTAGCCAAAAAACAAGAAGATTGGGCTTGACTTTCTAAGTTCTTGTGTTTGGACCTCTATCAAATAGCATTTTCAGTTAATCAGTTGAACATTAACCGTTATTGTTCAAGAGATACTGCATACCTCCTCTTTTGTGTAAGTGTTGTCTGTGATGAAGCAGAATTCTTCAATCCGCGGGGGACAAATTTCTTCAAGCTTCCTTCAATAACAGAAAGCAAAAAACATATGGAAAATTTTCTCCAAATGCATTACAGTACATGACACAAAGGGTTGTAAAGATTCAGGTTAACTTCTTTAAATTGGTCATGGCACTTTTCCTTTGTTGACTGAAATTACAAATACTAGTTGAAAGTTTCTTGAACAGCAATAGAATAAAATCAAGTGGAGCAAGATTCATAACTAGGCAAGAGCAGATTGAAGATGATATGAAGTTGAGAACCATTAGCATGGTTGTTACCAATAATGTCAAGTCACTTGCTGTCTTTCCTACCACCTTTGTTACACCATCTTTCAAAATCTATATATCTATGTGAAATAAAATATATAAGAAGCTGCGCTATTCATAAATAATGAACAATGCGATTCACCTCAAATTCTAAGTTAAGCACAGGACCCACAGTCTTCCCCCCCCCCCAAATATTTTGGTGAAAGGTTTCAACTACCAACATGAACAAAAAGTCATCCAGGTGCAGCAAACAAAAGGAATCAATTTCTGATCTTCAAGTTTGATATCTTGATTACATCAAAGTCATAACCTAGAGATGCTGCCATAAATTTTGCATCAAAGTCAAACCAAGGATATGGAGAGAGATCTAGGGGCCCAGATTTGAAGACCAGAAGCTTCAAACTGAGGTTTCTTGTTCCTTCCTTATTTCTTTTTGCATTTGGATGGCAACGTGCTCTGGATTTCCTATCTTTGTGTAGTCCATATGTATGCGGGGCTAAGATTTTGTTTCAGGATTAGTATGCGGGGCTAAGATTTTGTTTCAGGATTAGTTTTGATCCCACTCGTGAATTAGTTTTTGTTATCTCTTTATCATGATTGTTTTTAATATATATGCGTGATTGCTTATTGTGTTTTTCTTATACTTTCCCTATTTTGGCCAAATGAGGTTTACGTTCTGTATGTTCTAGGCGAACTTAAGGTATGTTTGGTCAATTTGTTAAAACTATGCTAGCCAGCCTCACGTAGTCAAATATGTTTGGTCTAAAATATCAGATGCGAAACAGAATATAAACCAAAGATCAAAACTATACTATCTAATTCTTGTTATCAAACATAATATCTTTCTTGGTAAGGCTCATTTTCTTCATAAAAAAACATCACATAAGAATGTAGTATCACACACACAACAGCATTAGCTCAACAGAATAAGTTAAAAAAATTTATATTTACCATTACTGAATTACAAAATTACAGAGTTAATTATTAATCGTATACACTTGTTGAATGATATTCACCAGAAGGCATGAAATCAACTTCATTTATGAGGCATAACGTTCACTTACGAAGAAATCAGCATGCAGGTGATGCCAAGCAGCTGAAGTCTTTGTCTTTCAATGTAATTTTTGGAAAGAAACCAATCTATGAGATATATAGTCAGGTATAGAGTATCTGGAACCAATTTGTACTCCTCAGAAACCTGAAAACATTATTTTACAAGATGATATGAATCTAAAGAGAAGGTCTAAAATAACCGAATCTATATCTCTCAAGAATCAAATAGACGCTAAGTTGAAGCTATATAATAACAAGCTTGGAAATGAATCTTCTCTTAAAACAAGAAATGCAGCTAAATCCACAAAGGATCGTTCAGTGTAAATACTGATACAGCACAAATTATCTACCCCATACTGGAAAGAATCTCCAGTAACTCAGCTCGGACGTGTAGAATGGAGGACAACTTGGACCAATAATGCAAGAGAAAATTCATTCACAACAACTTCACAAATTAAGCAAAGTTGCATATTATTTAGCTAACACTTGATTATAGTAGAACGTCATAAACATAGCAAGAAAGTTAACGATGCAAAGTTGCAAACCTCTACAAGCCAGTCAACTAATATCCCACGCATGCTTTGAGTGATATCTCGCTGAACTGTTTCCATGAAGTTAGTGCTAGGTCTTCTTGCAAGCTGAGAGAAGAAAAGGTTATCTATAAGAAAGAAATACAAGAAGGGGAGGAATTATGAATTATGATAGTTACTGTTTCAACATGCAATTAAGAAAAGAAACTGTAAATCAAGCATAGAAACAGTGCTTAAGAAAATTATATGCTTTACCATCCCGATTTAAGTTTAAGTATGCTTCTGGCATGCTCAGAGCAGTATATTCAGCAAGAGATAGTACTAGGCAGCAGCCAATGAATTATCTTTGACCAAGCTTCCTTTAAAATTTTAAGACCCATGGTCCTAATCAATTCAATGGGTGGAAAAGTTTATCATATGAAAATGAATTTTACATATACATCGATTACAGGATTTTAAGTTTATATAACTGTTATGTTAAATATCTTCTCCAAACATCATTTATAAAGCGAATCACTCCTGTTCATCAAGACTCCATTAAATTTATAGGAAATTGGGAGCGTGTAAAACCTATAGGAACTTGCAAATAAGTCAATAGTTTCATCTAAGCATAAAAAAGTTGGCAGATAAAACCAGCATAACAGATTCGTTTAACTTTTAATCGAAGTTACGTAAACAATAAGACTGTATTGAACAGAAACAAATTTATGACGCACCTCAAGAACACGTAAATTGTTGTAGATATCAACAGCATAGTCACTGCATAATTGAGGATCTTCATGATCAGCATCTATATCAAGATAGTCTTCATTCTTTGATGCGCTTGGAAGTTCAGAAAGGCTAATTCTCTTGGCTGCGACAATTTGCATATGCTCAGTGGTTAGTGGCTGGAAAATAAATGAAATACATCAACTAAGAAGCGATTTCATTTTGTGAAGGTCAAAATAACCCTGCAGCATCACTGTTTGAACATACAATCACATATAGCTCGAAAGCAACCTCCATGTTAGTATGAAGTTAATAAGAGTTTCCAGATTTCTTTATGTAAGAAAGCACAGTTGTTTCAAATGTGCCGCTCCGCAGTGATAGGAAAGATACATCACAGGATTGTAAGAACTAAGGACTTGCTAGGCAGTCTAATATGACAGAAATTATTTTTAATTTTCAAATATTACCCCACTGAAATAACACGTGTCTTCCAAGATTACTGATATCTTACTTATCTAACAACATAGTAGTGATGTGGATTGCTACAGGATAATCTAATCGAGTTTGTATTCATTAAATTTATTAAGATTCCTCAAACAGTATTGCAAACCGGGAAAACGACCTGATGCTTGATTGCCCAACAAAATCAGACCTTAGAGGCTTGTTAGCTCTTCAAATTGCATATTAATTTATTTACATTTCTTCAAGAAAATAATATGAAATTTAAAACATACACTATCTGTAAGTAGTAAAAACCGGACTCAGGGCAATGCATAGACTATGTCCTGCATATAACAATATCAGTGTTTAGGGATCCAATATAAAAGCCATGCAGTCTTGTGGGTTAGAGAATAGCCGAAAACCTTTTGTTTGAGAAATCAGTGGCTGAGGAAATAATCCAGGGGTCTGCCCTCCAAGCAGACCATCATTTGTGCGGCACACTTTGTCGCCACTTGTCTGATGGAGGGCATTGTCTCCCAAGTTACTTGAACAGGTAGCATTAGCATCTTCTGATACAAGTCCTGTTTCAGGTAAACTCTTTGGTTGTGAGTCAACTTGAAGCTGCGGTAGCTTCCCAGAAACTGAAGGAACTTCTCTGGAAATATTGACTTGGCCAGTTTTAGTCAGCTTGCTTTTCTTAGCCTGGTAGTCAGAAGAATTAACTGAAAATTCTTAGCCTCACAACTTAGGGAGGAGGAAGAAAGAAACTTTCAAGAATGAGGTATCAACCCACAAATAGTTTTCAATGAGAAACAAGCCACACAAAAATGAAAAAGAGTAGTATCCATAAAATATTTTTTCTTTAATCATCTGGAGCTTATTTACAGCCAACTAAAAGACAATAACCTGAATTTTAGTGGCATTGAAACAGTTCCTATATGAATTTTCACAGAAAACATTGGTAACGTCCTGAAGAACAGCCCTCTTTTTACGCTGAGGACATGTCTGATCAGAAGCTGCTCTTTTTGGGTTAGCTCGTAATGGCTTATGATTTTGTTGTGTAGGCTCCCTGAGAGGTGGCAGCTGTCCATTTGCCCGAAAGGCAGCAGCCCTTGCACGAGTCAAACGACCTGGGAGCTCTGCAGCTTTTGAAGAGCCAATGTTTTCTTTCTTCATGTCCACAAGATTTAGCAAAACATAGACACTAAATCTAGATGCATAAATCCTGCAATGAAAAGATCAAATCAGGCCATAAAACCAGCAGTTGTGAGTGATTGAGTACAAGCAAGTGAGCAACTAGTCCCTGAAACACTAGATCCAAATAATTTAATCACAAAAATAAAATAAGAAGGTCTTTTGCTAGTGGCAATGTTCAAGCGGTTGAGCATCCAGACATGGAAGAAACACTTCACTTGAAAATGCAGGCACTCATATCAACAGTAAACACTAAGCAATGTTTTCCTAGTCCATGTTTTTGAACGAGGATGAACACAGCTAACGTAAACTATACATTCATAAATTGAACATTCAACCAGTATGACTTAAACAAGCAAGAAAACCATATCAATGTTCAGAACTCAACGAGGATTAAATATCCTTCAGCACAAACATGGTGACATAATACACAACCATATATTTTTCCCCAGTAGAGCAGACCAATATGGGGTCTAATAGCGGAGAAAATAATCTTTTAGCGGAAAGTGTTCTTATAAAAATCTATTGACGCCAGTTAAGTAAGATCAAGAATCTATGAACCCAAAAAAAAAGATTTCATGTCACAGTTTTGCCTCGAGAAAGTTGATCACCAAATTTTTAACAAGGAATGTTTGCACAATGACATTGAAAACGGGGGGAAAATTAGCAAGCGACGCTCTTGTTAAGCAAAGCTAATGCTAACGAAGAAAAGGACGAGGAAAAAGAAAGGAAGAGAAGAATTCAGAAGTTAGAGTTTCGATCAATTACGAAGAAAACGAAACCCAAAGAAAAATCTGTTCCTGAATACCCGTATTCTCAAACTTGAAGATTTGAAAAGACGTAGTGAAACCAATGGTCAATTTCGAATGTGAAGAGAACTCGCATCGTGAAATAGCAACCCTTTATCACCGTGAAAATGGGAAGGAACGGGAAACACAATGCTCTGTTCACCCACCCTCATTTCCTTTTCATCTCTTCTAAGCTTCCCTTTGGAAAACTTCACTAAATGCAAGCCATACGTAGTGACCTTCTTATTTGAATCAGATTGTTCTTACGGTTTCATATTAATAAAACTTACCCATTTCTTGGCAGCAAAATAAGCAAAAAGAAAAAAGTCCAAGACTCAATCTTTCTTTCTTTTGGTTATCTTCGGGTACAATATACGGCAACCGATCCGAAATCACTAAAAAAGAAACATCACTCCACAAATCCCTCCCATAAAGAGCGAGTTTCTTCTTCAAAATCTCCCCAAAACCCTAAAGGGTACCAAACGTCACTACCCAAAAGAACCAGCATGGAGACAACAAATGCAAAGAGAGCAAACACTGTTCGTTCAGTCTCACACGAAGAAACGCATGGAGATTAACCTGAGTCTATCTTGCAAGCTCCTCGACCTCCATGAGAGAGAGATGAGAGCTCGCAGACAGAGAGGAAAAAGAGGAGCTTTCAGCTTTCAGGTCTTCCAAGAGTGTGCCAGCTATGGCAGAAGTGGTGAGAGTGAGAGAGTGAGTGAGCGGGATTGCTCGAGTTTAAAAAATCTCACTATCTCAGTGAAATAAAAATCAAAAAAGAAAATGAAAGAATTAATATTTTTTTATTGGGGGGTTCAGTGGTTGACCATTTGACCAAAAAGAGCTAAAGACAGTTCTTTATGGAGTACTCATGTTGAATAGTATTTTGTTTAGGTTTCGATTAGGAGATTTTACCGTAAGATCGCGCGTGAGATCTGGTCGTTTAAGGTTCTTAATCACGTAATTGCCCTTTGATTATCCTTTTATTACATTTTTGTTGCTTCACCTTTCAGACTGTTCCTATGACCATGTGGGTAGTCTCGTCATTTCACTGTTCATGTTAAGATTGTTAAAAATTTTAAATTGTCAAGACCTGGTTCTCTACGGTCGAGTGTAGCGAAAGTTCAAAAATTAAGCCATTTGAAAGGTGCCACGTTGATTCTGGACAATTATTAACACCTCGGTTGGTAATATGTTTAGTAAACTTCTTTTTCATTTAATATTTTTCCAATTTCCAAGTTGGGCATTTGTCAAAGATAATCATGTTCATTCGGTTTGACATTATGGATATATATGAAATATTTGTTGCCACTTTTTATGTTGACTTTTTATACCGATTATGAAATATTTGATTAGGTAATTGAGTTTGTCAAGGATAATTTTTTTTTGTAATTAACGAAAATTGTGTTTGATATATATAACTGAAATTTTTTGGGTATGTTTAAAGTTAAGTTAATCAGATTTTGTGGAAAATTTAATGGCCAATAAAACTATAATTTTTCCTTATTAATTTGAGTTTATTCTCTGGACCAAAAGATATTATGAGACTAAAATTATACTCCTTCGGTCATTAATATAAGACCTAATTGTTGAATTGATTTTGGTCCTAAATATAAGACTCATATCTCATATTTATCCGTTTTCTCTAAATTACCCCTATGGATACTCTCTCAACCATAATCAAGTAGAAGAGGGAGATGGGGTATTAAGAAAGATGATTATGGTGTTTTATGAAAAACGTGTCACATTTCTTATAATTAACTAACTTATCTAATTTTTTTAATATAATCAAATTAGTTAAATGGGTCTTATATTAAGGATTGGAAAAGTAATTTATTTCTTTGATAATGATAATTGACATATTGAACTAATGTTCAAATCATTATTGTTCTTTACGGGACAAAAGAAAGACAAACATTGTTTGAATTTCTGGCTGTTATATCATCATTATCATCATACTATTAATCTAAAATTGATTAAAAGTGGGATTTTCTTGTTGACTATTACAAAAAGTATAATTACATTTTCTTTTGGCAAAAAAAAAAAGTATAGCTGCTGTATTTTCAATTTTTGTTCGTTTTGGGAGTGAACTTAATTAATCCTTTTTGTGAGGCCACAAAAGAATAAAATCAAGCCCAATTTTCATGGGGAGTAAATAAAAACCCATCCCACCAGGAAAAAAAAACACAAAAAACCAAATCACACTTGTAATCAAGAGCAAAAGAAAATCTGAGTTAAGTTTAATTAATTAATTAACATCCAGGTCAGTTAGATCAGTAAATGATGAATTAAGTAATAATTAAAAAGAGACAACTGAAATGGTGACACGAATAAGGGAAAAAATAGTGAAAATGAAGGGGGGTATCTAAGAAATAAATGTGAGTTGACAAAATTCCCAAATTTGGTGGGGGTAATTAAAATGAGATGAGAGCCACAAACAAGTGATAAATTCAAAAGGTTGGTGCTTGGTTCGGAATTCAGATCCAGAATTCAAAATTGATGACATAAACAAAACAAGACAACCTAAGCTTACTTAAATCTGAACCTGCCTTAAAAGTGGGACACTAGCCCCTACCTACGTCCAAGAAATAGTAGAACCTCCTCTCTTTTTAGCATTCCATGTTCTACATTCTTTATTCTACAGTTAGGTGACACATTTCTATATACTACTTCTGTTTGTCTTTTTGTTTGATCCTAATTATAAGACCCTAATCTATTTTATCTCTCACATTTATATATTTTTTTCCAAGATAATCCTTCTAATAATAATAGTTCTAGTCAATACACTTAATTAGTAAGGATATTTTAGGAATGACAACACTTATTTATTACAAATAAATAACTTAACTTACTTCCTTAATCTCCTCAAATAAGTCAACTGGGTCTTATAATTAGGACCGGAGGTAGTATATATATATACTCCTCCGGTCCTTATTATAAGACCCAATTTGACTTTTTATTTGGTCCTAATTATAAGACCCAATCCATTTTCTCTTTTATATTTATGTATTTTTTTCCAAGATAATCCTTCTAATAATGATAGTTTTAGCTAATATACTTAATTAGCAAGGATATTTTAGGAATAACAACACTTATTTATTATAAATAACCAACTTAACTTACTTCCTTAATCTCCTCAAATAAGTCAATTGGGTCTTATAATTAGGACCGGAGGAGTATATATATATATATATATGGACCACTAACTTTTGTTTAGTAGGCCCTTCACTGCTATGGAGAGTCATCCAGTTAAACTTAATAATTTATATTTAATACTATTTTTTATTATTAATATAAAAATTAGTTTGATATTTAATCTGATATTAGATATAAGACTCCAATCTATTTTGGTTAGTTTTTAATAGAAACTAATAAGAAAAAATAAGTGAAAGTTCCTATTTAAGACTTTTATTAGTTTTTTTTTGTCAGGAGACTTTTATTTGTTGGTCCAAAAAACTTGATATGCTCTTATACATAGAAATATCAGTAGTCCACAAGATTTCAAAGAAAAACTCTTCTTTTCCCCGGTTTTTTAATTAATAATTTAGTCGTTGTAATTCTGATTGAGTTACAGCTGAATCCTTAAAGTTTAGTTCATTCAACTCAGTCAGTAAAATGATTTCAACAATTTAATCGATTTGGTGCTTCGACTTTTAAGAAATAACTAGCTCTTGATTGGTCGTAACTTAGTTATAAAATATAGAGAATAATAGATTAAATGACTAAAAATGAAAAGTTCGGTTATAATAAGTTAAATGTCATGACTATAAACAATGTGTTCATCATCTTGATGCTATTCTGTCTTCGATACATGGATAGAGATTAGCTGCTGCTTTCATTAAAATCACTTTGTTAAATTGTTTCTATGTAAGTTGAAACAGAATTTTTCTTATTTACTCCTCCAATCTTATTTATAAGTTACTTTTAGTATATTTCACACAACCAAGAAAAATCTTAAACTTTATTAACTCTCATTTAAAATTTAACAATTTTCTATCTTTATTTTTATTTAATATACATTGTACCTCAAGTAAACAAAGTCAACACACTAATAAATGAGGAGTAAAATTATATATTCATACAAAAAAATAATTCTCTCTCTACCTTATAAATAAGAGTAGAAGAGTACTAACTTCATGTATTATAAAATCAATTTTAAAACTATAGTTTGGTTTATATCTAAGTGCCTCATGAATAATATATTGTGATTTTTCTAAGATAAGGACTTCATTTTTTTTTGTATTAAATAACACTTGAATGGTGAACATGAGCAAGGGTAAAATAAAAGGAGAAGAAGCAGCATGGAAGGCAAGCTGGCAATTTGTGGTTATAATAACTGCATGTTTATGAATGAATGATTGCAAACTTGGAAGCCGAAACCTAAAGTTTTGAAAATTTGAACTCAGCAACGGGATAAGGTAAAAAAAAGATTGAACTTGAAGGCTGGGCAAATGGGGCGGTAGTTTAATACGAATATATAGCACGTGACTCGGCAGCTTTATGACAGATAAGCCGCATTCCTCTTCATTTATTCACAAGCCTTATGTGGACCCCACACAGGCCCTCAAAAATGCCCATATCATTAGCTAGCCCACCCTCAACTCACTTGAAAAAAATTTTCTTTGTAAATAACTAATTTATGAATATTTAAAAAAAATAATTAAATTACTTATTTATAATAAAAAATATCATTTTTTAAAATACTCTTCTCAATTATGTGGATTGAAATTACAACTTTAATATGTATAGTTGCTATAAAAATTGAAATGCTTGGGAGTAAAATGGATAAATATTAGAGATAGAGTACATTAAGACCTTATATGTGAAACCAAATTGAATATTCAATTAATATTTATATTTAATTT